GATTAACTTTATTCGTTAATAACTCTGTAAATAATGGTCTGAGCCAAAATTGAAAGAGGAACTTTTAGTTCAAAATTTCATTCTCTTTCACGCCTTGAAATATTAATTAAGCGTTACGGGACACCCTGTATAAACAATATAATTAATATGATAATTAAATGTTAAATATATCCAATGTCTTATATGTTCACCATGTATAATATATGCGTATTTGGACGACTAAAAAAAATATAATTATTCGTAAATTTACCTCTCTAGATCTTTTCCATTTTTTTGAACTTGCAAACGTGTATCAGTCTTATTTTCTTCAGCTACTGATTGATTTACTGTTACGTTTATGTTATTTCCCTCAGTATTTTCTTGAGGTTTTTCCTTTATGTCATGTTCAAGCAAATGGTTCACTAAGAAATCTACTCTAAATATGTTAAACATTTTACAGCAAGTCTTGCATTTGATCTTATAACTTGATGTGCTGAATGCGAAATGTTGTGATACCCATATACATCCTATTTGTTTACGTATTTCTTTTGTTGTTAAAGGATGTACAGATATCAGATGTTCCTCTAAATTATATTCATCATATTCACTTAAAAACATTTTATTACAAAGTTTACATTTTGGAGAGTTTCTTTCTTCTTCTGTGAAATATTGCCATACCAAGTTGCTTCGGTCAGTGTCTTCATCATGAAATATTCCATGTTCATGATATAAGTGTGACTTTGTGGATGAAAAATTTCTAGTAACATAATGACAAATATTGCATTTCATCTCATCAGATTCTGCTCCACTAATATGTTCCCATATCCAATTTTTGTTCTCATTTTTCTGCTGTGGCATTATGTTCGCGCCGTATCTTAAGGCATATATTTTAAATGTTAGACACAATTTTTTAAATCTTTATAATAAACAAATATTAAATGTATCCAATTTCTTTCATGTATATACGTGTATTTGACCGACTGAAAAAAATAAAGCGTAATTAAACAGAAATTTACCTTTCAAAATCCTTTCGATTTTCTTGAGCTTGCGAATGTGTAACAACCCTATTTTCTTTAGCTGCTGATCGATTTACTGCTACGTTCATGTTATTTTCCTTAGTATTTTCTTGAGGTTTTTCCTTTATGTCATGTTTAAGCAAATGGTTCATTAATATATCTACTTTAAATATGTTAAACATTTTACAGCAAATCTTGCATTTAATCGTATGACTTGATAGACCCAACTCAAAATGTTGTGATATCCACATACGTGTTATTTCTGTTTGTATTTCTTTTATTGTTTGCGGATGTTTAGATATTAGATGTATTTCTAAACTTTTTTCCTTATATCCACTCAAGAAAACTTTATCACAAAGCTTACACGTTGGAGCATATTTTTGTTCTTCTTTGAAATATCGCCACATCAAGTTGCTTCGGTTCATGTTTTTGTTACGGTATATTCCATGTGCACGATACAAATGTACCTTTATTCGCAAATAATCTGCAGCAAATAATCTAATACTATAATGACAAATATTGCATTTTATCTTCTGAGATTCTACTCTAGTACAATATTTCCATATCCAATTTTTTTGCATAGCTTTCTTCTGCTTTGGCCTTATGCTCGCACTGTATAAAGAATACATTTTATATATTAGATTTAATTTTTTATATTATTCTTTTAGTAAATTAAGATTAGGATAATTATTTAAAATTAACTCGTTATCAAGACAAAAAATCTAATTACTATTATTATTATCTAAGTCTTAAAAGTAATTCGTTACCGTTAATTGTAGTTATTTAAACGTAACATTACTCTTTCCGTTTTTTTTAAATGCTAAATGTAGATTAGACTAAATAAAAATTTAAGTTTTTTTAAAACTTTTTGTTAAATTAATGAAATCTTAATATTTGATTAATTTAATTAATATAATTTGATTAATTTGATTTATAAAATCAATATAATTTTATATGTTATATTAAATTCACAGCACAAAAAATTTAGGGAAAAAGATTTGTAAGTACTTATATTTTTAAAAAATTTTGGCTTTTGTTAAATTTATAAATGTAGCCTGTTTTAACTTTTTTGTACTCTCAATTTTATATTTAAAAATTTTAATAGGCGATAACAGTGAGCACTCAGTGATATTTTAATACGATTGGTTTTTGCCTTTAAATGTTTACTAATTTTAATTACAGAAATTAAAACTAAAAAACCGAAATAAATAATTATTGAGCGCTGACTAAGTTATTCTATCTGCTGAACACAGGCTATAATAAAATATCTATGAATACTGGCCAAATACTAAAAATTGAATATACGAAAATTATGTCACAAGTAAACTTAAAATATAAAGCAAATGATAAAGGTAACTATTAAATTCGTTGCAGTTTCTGAAATAATGTAACTGCGTTACTTTGCAATTAACAAAGAAATAAACAAATTCTAAATATTCATTTTCTTACATGCTCGTTGTACATATGTGTATTTAACCGTTTGAAGAAAGATGAATCGCAAATATTGGTAAATTTTACCTTTGTAAATCATTTACATTTTCTTCATCTTGTGAATGTGTATCAATTTGATGAAAAGATGTACCCATGTTACTTTCTTCAGCTGCTGAATGATTCACGTTTATGCTATTTTCCTCAGTATTTTCAACAGGTTTTTCCCTTACGCCATGTTTAAGCAAATGTTTCACTAAGGAATTTACTTTAAATATGTTACACATATTACTGCAAATCTTGCACTTAATCATATGACCTGATGGATTCAATTTGAAATGTTGTGATACCCACATACGTGTTATTTCTGTTCGTATTTCTTTTATTGTTTGCGGATGTTTAGATATTAGATGTATTTCTAATCTCTTTTCCTTATATCCACTGAAGAGAACTTTATCACAAAGCTTACACGTTGAAGCATATCTTTCTTCTTCTTTGAAATATCGCCATACCAAATTGTTTCGGTCGACGTTTTCATCACAAAATATTCCATGTTTACGATATAAATGTACTTTTATGAGTAAATAACTATTACTAATATGATGACAAATGTTGCATTCCATCTTTTGACGTTCCACTCTGGTACAATATCTCCGTATCCAATTTTCTTGCATATTCTCCTGCTGTGGCCTTATGCTCGCACTGTATAAAGAATACATTTTATATATTAGATTTAATTTTTTATATTATTCTTTTAGTAAAGTTGGGGTAATTATTTAAAATTAACTTGTTACTTGTTATCAAAGAATATCTAGTACAAAAAATATCTAGTTACTGTTACTAGTAATTGTTACTAGTAATTTCAAAAGTAACTCGTTACTGCTATAGTTACTTAAACATAACGAATCGTTACCTTTCCATTTCTTTTTATACTGCTAAAATTATTGTAGATTAGACTAAATAAGAAATTTATTTTTTTAAACTTTTTTTTGAAGTATTATAAAAATTAGTAAAATTTTAGATGTTAAATTTGCAAGACCACAAAGAACTTAAGGAGAAAAATATTTAAAAGCTCAAAACGTAAATAAAATTTGGGCTTTTATTAAATTTATAAATGTAGCCAATTTTAACTTTCTTGTATTTTCCATTTTGTGTTTAAAAACTTTAACGAGCACATTAAGCGATATCAGTGAGCTTTCAGTGATACTTTAATATGGTTGGTGCGTAATGTGTGTTCTTGCCTTTAATTCTTCACTAAATTTAAGTATAGAAATTAATTGCAATAAATAATTATTGGACATTATCTGAACTGCACTAGCTGCTGAACGCGGTCTATATATAATAACACACTACGAATACCAATCAAAGTCTAGAATTTGTATATACGAAAGTTATGTTACAAATAGATTTAAAGTATAAAGATTACGAATAAAAAATTAAAAGTAACTATTGAATTCGTTATCGTTACCAAAGAATGTTCTACTTACACTTACACTGAGAGAAAAATATTTTGTATTTGTGACTATAGTTGCGTGGTAAAAAAATTATGATTAGGAGCACTATTTTTATAGTTATTATTATATTTATTAGGTCTATCTCTATTAGTTTACGAGATAAAAAGGGGTGGCCACTTATGCGGGGACACCCTGTATGTATTGTCCTACCAAATATGAAAAAAATTTACTAATAAATTATAATAATTCTATTAATATAGTAAACTATCAAGATATACGTATGAGACAAATGAAATAAATATTTTTATGTAGTAAATGCAACTGCAATTATAGTAAGTATAACTATTTTTTTAACATTTGCTTACTATTTATATTGTAATAATAACTAAATTTTAAAAAATAAGTAAACGAAAAATAATATCAATCATAATATATAACCATAATGCATTTTTAAAGCAGCTATAATTTGCATAGTTAAAATAATTATAATTTTATAGTTGTCCCTGAAATTCACTATAAATTATAGTTAAATTATGGTTATTTCA